CCAAAACTGGTGTGGGGAATTGTCTGCATTCTGTCAATCATGTTTTAAGTAAATGCTGATTGGTTAGGCAGGAAGTATAGGTGGGTCAACCAGACAGGAAGTAGAGGCTGGGTGATGAAAACAGGAGTATTCTGGGAAGAAGGAAGCTCTTCCTGCAGTCTAGCCCAGATCACTGAAGAAGCAACATGTGACCTGCCCCACTGTGAAAGGTACCGAGCCATGTGACTAACATAGATAAGAATAATGGGTTAATATAAACTACAAGAGCTAAAAAGAAGACTGAGCTAATGGGCCAATCAGTTTTATAACTTATGAAAATCTCTGTGTGATTTTCTTTGGGGCTTGCCAACTGTGGGGAACTGGGCAGGACATAAACCCCAATAAGCAGACCCTCATATTACACAAAACAAAACAAAAAAAGGAGAGAAATAAGTGAGTGCACATGTAGATGGGAAGAAAATGGGAGAGAATGCAGGGGCTGGCAAATTTGATGAAAACACACTTTATACATGTATGAAATTCTTATTTTAACACCTCTTGGGAGGAGAAGTATTGCTTTCTGAAAAATGAAATGGGTGAGGAGAGTATGACCCCAGCTGACACCTGCATTACACTTAGCCCACTGTTTTATTTTTTAGACACAGGGTTTCTCTGTGTTCCAACCCTGGCTGTCCTGGAATTCACAGAGATCCGCCTGTCTCTGCCTCTCAAGTGCTGGGATTAAAGGCGTGCACCACCACTGCCACATACTCACCGCCGCCAGCATGCTTATTCCACTTTAATATGACAACAGACGAGGACGTGGGGATCAGAAGAGTGAAGAGGTTTGTCCACGAGGACGCAGCTAAGTGGCAGACGGTCTAGAGTTAGCTGCTTCGGACTCGTTTCTAAGGCAGTGCAGGGCACAGAAGAAGGTGTGACGGAGTGTGTGTTTGCTTACGTAGGAGCTGAAGGGAGGAACAGATGCCTCAGGGAGAATGACAGTTAACTGGTCTCCCGTGACCATGCCACGTCATACAGGTAGATGTGGAATGCTGTTTTCTGAGGAGAGCAGCCATTACCAGCGGGGCTTCAGGCGTGTATCACAGCACCTGGCTCATCCAGAGCTGCTCAATGACGCCCTGAGGTTTGGAACTGTAGGAATTAGGATAGGTGGGATGAGTCTTCAGACCCTCGCCTCAGGTTCCAGCCACTCTTTCCTGAACCCTCCCCCAAACTTTGCCCCAGCTACACAGTCTTGAGAAGACTCTGGAGTTTCTTGAAGGTGAAAGGTTAATAATTGAAGTAGAGACTCCATTTGTGAAGCTGTGCAGGTAGCTCATAACCCATGCTGTGGGGAGACTCCTCAGTGGTGTGGCTGTTTGGGGACTTATGTCCCTGGAAGTAAGGCTATTAAATTCTTTGGTTCTCAAAGTCAGGCCTGAGGGGCATCCTTGTATAGGGTGCATAAATGTTTGTTCATGTCTCCCCAGGAAAAGTTCATGTAACAACAGAACAAAAGCAGACCAGGAGAAAAAAGGCTTGCGCGAACGTGTTAGATTAAGACAGTCACTGGGAGGAGCTTTCTAGGGAACACTGAGTTGTCAGCCTGGCTGGACCATAGGGCCTTGAGCACACTGTGTGGGCTCTAAGAATCAGAATTTGGTTAAAAATTTTGGACTGTATCATGCAATAGCGTGGGGTATTAAGTCATATGATAATATGGCAGTTGTTGCTTTAAGTGAAATCACTTAGATTTGAGTGGATGGAAAAAGTGACCAAATGGACCTGTCCTCTCCAAACAAGAGAGGCAGAAGATAAAATCAGCCCTGGTTTAAAGGCTGACCCACCAGTCACTAGTAGGCAGCAGTGTGCCCTAATGTTTCCTCCCGAGAATGGCTGCCTGATGAATGGGAATCAGGAGTAGTGGGGAGGGAATCTGTGTGAAGTGTACCCCAAAGACACAGAGGGGAAAGGGGATGTGGTAGCCAAAGGCTTGGTCTCTGGAGGATATGGATGGGGGTGGGGGTGGGGGATATTGGTGAAAAGACCATCATGAAGAACCTTGAATTTTCACATGAAGAAAGGCGGAAATTAAGATGTGCTCACTGCTACAACTGAATCAACTCTGATATGGGGCTAATCAACTACTTTCTGATTGAAACTGTGGCCTGCTCTACAGGAAGAGAACTCATGTCTGGTTCTGCAACCCCTTTCAAAGCCCATGACTAGAAATGTCACAGGCTCTCATGGGAAGCTACAGCTGTTTTGTTAAATAGATATGGCATGGCCATCAATTTGCCTTCTGATAATTAACTTATCCCATAGATTAGTGCCGCCGCTAGCTTCTGTCAGGGAAGTGTCATGCAACAAGCAGAAATCATTGCAGACTCTTAAAGTCTTCAAGTAAACACTGTTTAAAATTGCCCAACCAGAAGTGGGACATCTGTATTGCTCCATTCGAAGCTCAGCGTCACCGAGTAGAAAGGACGAGGGAACAGAAAGATGTGGAGAGTTCTGTGAGTCTGACTTCTGGACAGGATACCGACTGTGGCTCTGGAACTCACAGCAGCTGTGACTGATGACGGCACAAGACTGGGCCAGCAGCATCCTCTCAGAGAGGGAGGAGGGATTCCACCCCTCTCCGAGGACTTAGAGGCGTTTAATGGTTGATGAGGGATGGATTGGTATTTTCTTTAAGACGTAGTCACTGGCAAGGTGCCCGTGCTCCTGTAAACAAGCTCTCGTGAATGTTCCTGCAAGCAACCCTAGTGAAAACTCATGGGTAGGGGGAAGGAGAAATGGAGGGGGAGGAGGAGGAGGAAAGACCAGCAGGATAGTTCAGCAGAAAAAAGTGCTTGTCACTCAAGCCTGAATTCATACACACACACACACGCACGCACGCACACACGCACACACACACGTGCTCCCATCACCACTGCTGCCAATAATTCAGTAAAATTCTTAAAATAAAAAAAAATGAAATTAGAGGGGTCTAGTTGGGTAGAGGCAAGAGCTCGGCAAGAGAGAGAGAGAACAGTGTAATGGAGGTGAATATGATCAAATATATTACATACATGCATAAAATGCCATAATGAAACCCATTATGTGCAATAATGCGATAAAAAGAAAGATGGACATTATACTGAAGGAGAAGGGGGACCCAGAAAAAGTTTATAAAAAGACACAACTAAATTTTAGGAGCATCACCACCATGAGAACAGAGACTGAAAGGAGAGAGAAGAGTGAGGGGGCTGTTGCTGATTGGGGAGAGGATAAACGGCCGGTACTGCCAGTAGTTGAATTGCCTGGGGACTGGAGAGACAATCAAAATAGGAGGAGGGGCCATGAATATGCACTTTTGTCAAAAGACAATAGGCATTCTATCCCTATTAATGAATGTACTTTCTGAATCGGCTCTCCTGCCTAAAAATGCGTTGGAGGAATTCGGTTTGGGAAGCCGAGACTAAGTTCTTGTGCTCTCATCTGAAGTCTTGGCCAGATTCTCCGTCGGAAACTGAGGTCTAGGAATGGTTTAGTTTGGGCCCTCCTTGCGCTGGAGGAAGGACCGTTCGACTCCTGCAGTGGACGGACAGCACTATAATAAGGAAAATATAAGCTGCCGCCGAGTTCGGTTTCCAGGGAGACTGAGGCAGGATTGCAGATAAAGTGCCAAACTGTCTAGGCGCTGGTGAGAAGAGAAAGGCGCCAGGGAGCAGCAATCCCGGTACCTGTTGGCTTCCTATCAGAAACCGAAGGCTTCACCTGATGCGGTACAGGTGTGCTCCACCCTGGCTCGGAGCCCGCCCCCTCGCTCTGATTGGTGAAAACGTCACCTAACCCCGCCTCCCCTGCCTACGGTGAGCTGACTGCGTCCTTGCTGCGTGACTGGGAAGATGGAGCCACCTCGACCAGTTCTCTGCGCCTGCGCGTCGCAGCGCTTGGCCACAGAGTAGACTACAGGGTGGGAAGGCCTGCAGAATGTGGCTTTTTTCAGTCCTGGACTAGGAGCCCGATTATGTCAGCTTTTCCCGAATCTGGAGGTCTTTGGGCCTTAGGCCACCCACCTTGCCACGCCTGACCTCTGCTGAAGCTCTCCCCACACGCCCCTACTGTCTTGGCAGAGGTGGGTTCCCGGGCCTTGCAGTTGGCAAAAGGCCTGCTAATCGGCCATACTCCCTCACCTGACCTCTGCAGCTCGGGCTCGGCCCTTCTCAGCTGTCCCTCAATTGGGAAGGGGCTGGAGGAAGACCTTAATTTTCTCTATAGTTAGTTTCCTCTCCTTAACCCCTTTGTCATTCATGCTGAGATTCTGTTGCTGTCTGCATAGTCAGGAAGGAAAATTCCCTCTAGGTTTTCTAATCTTTAGAGACAGGATACTCTATTTCCTGAGTGCCTAGCCAGCAGTGGATTAGATGATGCTGAAAAGCCAGATAAAACCATTCAGGTGGGAGGTTATACTGCCACAGAAAAGTCCCTTTAAGAGCTTCTGAATTCAAATGGGGGCAGGTCTCTGGGAAGGACCTGCCTGTTCAGTGCTGCCCTGGACACCCCCTCAGGTGGCCTCTGGTTTCTGTAAATAAGAAAGCTGCCTTGGATACAAAGCACCATAACAACTCACTAGGGCAGTATAAATAGCTTATTTGTTTGGGGGAAAGGAACAGGCTACAGCGAAGTAACATAGGCTTGTTAAAGTGTGGCTGGGGTGGCTGTGAGGTTGCATCCATCTGAAAGTTCTTGAAGCCTTCCAGAGGACACCTATCTTCACTTCGGGATGATTCTCAAGCCTGAGTATCAGGGCCAGCAGTTCTCAGCCTTAAAAGAACATGGTGAAAATGCTGACTGCCAGGGCGGAGAACTTGGGTTTTCCTCTGGGTAAGAGGTCACACAGATTTTTAAGCAATCAAGGGATCCTGAGCCAAGCAGTCCAAAGCCACTGCACAGTTACAACCATGCTTTGCTTCTCTCTCGCTTTCATCCAAACCTGCCTGGTCCCAACCCACAAGCATTCTGAAACCACATTTCTAAAAACCAGCCATTTATATCTGCTTAGGTAAAGTTACAGGAGTATGGTGGTGTATTTACAAGTGGGTTTGTCCAGATAGACTATAACTTAGTGTCTGTATTTAATATTGACAACCAAAAAATATATAAATATCTTCCATCTATACACAGCAGGGCAGGAGTGTCCATGTCTTCAGCGGTGAGTTCTCAGCCTCCGAGGCCCTTCTCGTGGTGATGTCTGGCCCTCAGTGCACAAGAGACTAGAATCTGGCTAGCCCTTCCCCTCTCCTCCCTGCACTCCAGTGCTTCCAACTGGTCTCAGGCAAGGAAAGATTAATTGAGTGGTTGGGAAGGAAGAGTTAGGAATGGGCGAATCCTAAAATGGAGCCCGACCCCTATAATGGGGAGATCCGGGCCTGCGGAAGGGGGTGGCAGCTACCACCTCCTGGGGTAAAGCCTCGTAGTTCATAGTTCGATTAGTGTGTCCTTGGTCATAGGTCCAGCCCTACAGATTAGCGAAGAAGGCATTGTGTCTGGACAGGGCTTGGTCCCCACCCTCAGGCACTGAGCCATTCAAGGTGAAGACAAGGGTGTGAAGATAGGAGAGTGGCTGATAAAAAAAAAGTAACAAAAATCAGTAATAAAAAAATTATAAAACCTGTTGCTTATCTGAACAGATTTGAGCAACAGTCTTGCTTTCATTAAAATTCTGCAGCCATCCTGAATATTCTTCTGGACATCATTGCTGGCTGATGAAAGGCGCCCAAGCCCGGCTCGCCTGAGATCTGTCAGTTTGGAAGAGGTCTCATCTAGCTGCCTGTGCTCCAGAGAGATCCATGGGGCTGCTGGGAGCAGGCCGGGCCAGGTATGGGGCTCCTCACACTTGGGAGTCAGCCCCCAGAGGGTGGAACAGCTCTTCAGGTGTCTTGTCGCTTTGGCTTGCACCCCCCTGCCGGAAGCCGGAAGCGATCTCATCGAAGGTGCGGCCTTTGGTCTCAGGAACTTTGAAGTAGGTGAAGATGAAGAACAGCACCAGGAGCACCGTGAAGATGATGAAGACATAGGGCCCACACAGTTGCTGGAAAACAGACATGCCATCACCCTCTATCCTAGCTAAAAGGACTCTGCCTCTGAGCCTTTGATCTGGAGAAGGGAATTGCTGTTAGCCCCCCAGGGGTGCTATCAAAACTAAATGAGACTGCTCATGCCTGACAGACTCCAGAAATGGCATAACAACTAAGGGAAGAGCCTGGGCTGGGCAGGGTTTGGCCAGGTGATGTGGGCTCCTGACCGCTTGCCAGCATGATTCTTGAATAACAAGGGTGAATACTTCAGATAACATGCAGTTGAGGAAAGGTAGACAAAGATGTTCTCACCTCCACATACTGGAAGCACATGCCCACGATGAAATTTGAGGTCCAGTTAGAGAAGCCAGCCACAGCAATAGCAGCAGGACGGGGCCCCTGGCTAAACAGCTCAGCCACAATGAACCATGGGATGGGACCAGGGCCTACTTCAAAGAAGGCCACAAAGCCAAAGATGGCCACGATGCTCAGATAGGACATCCAGGGCAGCCGTTCCTGTGGAGAGAGATGGGGTGAGAGGTTAGACTAGGACCTGATGACTTCTTAGAAGGAAGAGAAGCTGCAGAAATCTCAAGTCTGGGCTGAAAGGTCCCCCAGATTGTTGCACAACCCAGTGTGGTGGTCTCAATGAGAATGGTCTCCTGTTGGTGGAACTGTTTGGGAAGGATGGGGTGTGGCCTTGTTGGAGGAGGTGTGTCACTGGGAGTGGGCTTTCAGGCTTCAAAACCGAAGCTATTCTCTCTGCTTCGTGTTTGAAGGGTAAGGATGTAAGTAAGCTCTCAGTAACTGGACAAGTACCATGCCTGCCCACCTGCTAACATGTTTTCTGCCATAATGGTCATGGATTCTAGCCTTCTAAATCCACGAGCCCCCAAATACAATGCTTTCTTCTTTAAGTTTCCTTGCATGGTGTCTCAGTACAGCAATAAAAAAGTAACCAAGACACCCGGTAGCCTATGCCAGGTCTCAGTCTCAAGGGTCACTTGTGCCTATCCTCCAGCGCTCTTGGACATGTCTTGCACTTTTCCTCACTTGGGTTGGACAAAGGAGTGTGTGTGTGTGTGTGTGTGTGTGTGTGTGTGTGTGTGTATGCATGCCTGCATGGTACAGGTTGTCATAGTGATTAGTGACAGGCTAGGGACCTGCCGATCTAAGGTCAGTTCTTAGCTTCATTCCTTATCCTACATGGGGCCTTAGTTTGAGTAAAAAGCCTGAACATCTCTAATCTGAAAAGCCAGAAGTGCAAAATGCTTCCAAATCTGAAGCTTTTTGAATGCTGGTAACATGACACCAGAAGTGGAAAATTCCACACCTGACCACGTCAGTCATGATAAACAAAAACAAACCACTCAAATTTACCATCAGCCTATGTGTGGATGGTGCATAGGAAACATAAATGAATTTTACATTTAGGCCTCAGTTCTAGTCTGAAAGTACCATGTTGTGCATATGTAGATAGATATTCACAATCTGAAACTCAAGGTGTATCTGGCCTGAGCACTTCTGGAAAGGGATGCTCAGGCTACATCTAACTGCACAGCTCCTGGTCTGGAGAATGGAGACGGGTGTGATTGTGCACCTCTGCCACGGAGGGGACATTATATTGCCAAGGGTTGTTGTAGAGATGAATTGAGGCTATAGGTTAAGGCTCTGCAAGGATCAGTGCTGGACAAGGCAGCTTCATATGGAGATGAGAGCTTGGGCTCTCCAGCCAGATGTGCTGGCTCAGGAAATTCCCAATCAGGGAAGAGAAAGCTCAGGACGGGAGATGACCTGAGAAGCACAAGGTCAGACCCCAGTCCAGAGGCATGTCCACATTGGGCAGCCTAGGTTGGGTTTAATATGGGCATTTGGGGATCTAAATCAGGATGGAATCTACAGCTACGGGTGCCCGGGTCTGTCTAAATCCAGGTCCCCACCCTACCTTGCCCTGGTCCTTCCAGGGCAGGGTCACTCACCAGCAGGGCCAGTGCGATGGTCATGAGCACAGCACAGCCTGCCATGCCTGCCAGGCCAATGAGGTGCAGAGTCCGCCGTCCAGCTCGCTCCACCACAAACAGCTGTGGACAAGGAAAGAGTCATGTTCCCTCTGCCTGGTCTGGTGCCTCTTGGAGCCTACCTGTGCAGAGGCTCACCTCAACAGCCAGAGACAAGGACCTGCACACACTCGTGGGGAAAACAACACCTTTCCCCACCAGGCTGAAGCTTAGAGGCCTCATAGGGGATTAGGGCAAAATTTTGAGTCTAACAGTAACAGGGTGAGAGGTGGCCCTGGGGATCAGACAGCAAGAGCATCCTGGCTGTGACCTTGGGAGGTATTCTCACCTCCCTGGAGGCCTGTGTCAGCTGTACAGTGTGAGCAATGAGCTTTACAAGTTTATTGACACAAGCCTGGCACCCAGTATAGGCTGTCATTCTGTCACGAGGCCCTGAGCTGAACCCTGGCTGCTGACCAAAAGCAAGCAAAGACTCACCGACACCACAGTGAAGGCTGTGTTGACGATACCCGAGCCGATGGTGGCATACACAGGCTGCTGCACGCCCGCCTTCTCGAAGATGCTCGTCGAGTAATAGAACACCTGCCAGAAAGGGAGACAGTTGGTGATCTGCTGTGCCAAGGCCTTCTCCTGCCTCTGCGCTGGTTACTAGTGGGTGTGGGACCCAAGGTGATTAAGTGGGTGGTGGGGGGATGAACACTTCTCAGGCAGGAGGATGCTGCCACAGGCTTTGGTTCCATTGGTATACTTCTTTGGCAGAATTTGCTTATGGTTGTGTTTGGGATTCTCACGGTGCACACTTGAGCCTGGACTTGGCTGGGGCTGCAGGAAGGGGTAGGTGGGATACTCACAGCATTGATACCCGACAGCTGCTGGGACAGCTGCAGCACCACAGCGATGAGGAGAGGCTGGCGGTAGGCGGCCGAGCGGAACAGCTCCAGGATGGTGACCTTCTTCTCCCTCATCATCTGCCGACCCTCTTCTTTCATCTCCTGTAGGTCTCGGGTCACATCGGCTGTCCCTCGAAGCTTCTTCAGCACTGGTGGGACCGGAGGGAAGGTGGGGTGGCTCAGAGTGGGAAAAAGGCCTAAGCTCAGGGGGGCAGGGAGGAGGGCAGGGCCCAGCCCGTACCACTCTTGGCCCGGTTCTCCTCGTTACGATTGATGAGCAGGAAGCGGGGGCTCTCAGGGCAGAAGGGCAACAGGATACACTGTAGCAGGGCTGGGACGAAGATGATACTGAGCAGCAGAGGCCACAAGTTTGCATTGCCCATAATGGAGTCCAGGCCGAAAATCTGGACAAAGAAACCAGGGACCATGAGTGCCCCTGCCCTGCCCCTACTCAAGTACCCATCCCACTCAACCAGTGGCCTTCCCAGCCCACTATCTGCTAGGAGACCGAGCCTGTTGCTCATCTGTAAAACCAGCTCAAATTACAAAGACGAGGCCACATATAAATGTCTAGTATAGCTTGTGGGGATTGTTACTCAGCTACAGGAGGATTAAAGAACAGGGAGCCTCAAGGAGAGAAGGTACAGTGTGCAAAGAGGCTTACAGGCCTGCAGGCCCAAGAGCCCAACACGTTGAAGTGGGGCCCCTGTGATGAAGGGAGGTGAGAAGGCCAAGGGTGTTTGCTCTTAGACTGGTGCAGGGTGTCCTAGGCAGGGTTGGGGAGAGAAGTTCTGCTTTGCTGAACTGTGACCCAAGGGCCAGAGCTGTGGGCAGAGGCAGTACAGAGTGGGTAGACCTAGAACTGGCTTACCTGGGCAATGAGGATGCCAACGACGATGCCCAGCTGGTGCAGCGTGCCTAGAGCTCCGCGGAGAGCTGTAGGTGACACCTCTCCCACATACATGGGCACAAAGCCAGTGGTCAGGCCACAGTACACTCCAATGATAAAGCGGCCCAGGATCAGCATCTCAAAAGACTTGCCCAGTTTGGAGAAGCCCATGAGCACGGCAGACACAAAGGCCAACAGGTTCATCATCAGCATGGAGTTCCGCCTGCGGAGCAGGTCACAGGTCAGCAAGCTCTCAAGACCCCCAGGCTCCCCAGGGAGGAGGTCAGTCAGGGTATTTCTGCCATACCCAACCCCCTCCCCTCTCCAGAACTCCTTGAGCAGGATGGCATGGACTCCAAGGCAGGGCTGGGGTCTTTCCTGCTTACCTGCCAAAGCGATTAACAAAGAGGCCCACAGAGAAGGAGCCAATCATGCCACCAACAGAGAAGATGGCCACCGAGAGGGACCAGAGCGTGGTGAGTGTGGTGGGCAGGATGGATTCTCCATAGCGGTGGACCCATGTCTGGTTGTAGAACTCCTCAATAACCTGCAGGGAGAAGATCCTGGGTAGGTGGCCCCTCCGGACAGAGTGGCCACTTCACCCCAAGATGCCCCGACTTGGCTCTTCCGCAAACACACTGTGCGTTCTTCACCTGCTTCTTTCCTTTATATAGGACCAGTTTCCCTGGGTGAGAAGAGGACTGGGCTCGCCCATCCCAAGGTGCTTAAGACTTGCTGGGGAAGATGGCAAGGCTGACAGCCAGTTTGGGCACAGGGAAAAAAATGCTTCTGCTCATTTGCCCCTTTCAAGTGGCTCCCTAGACACTGTAGGCCACTAGGTCACGGCTGTAGGCCCTGGGCCCTCTCCCAACCCCCTGTTGGGGAGGAAGCACAGCTGGACAGACAGGTTCTGCCATTCTGAGGGCCTGTGGGAAGTGCACACTGACGCTGCATTTTGAGCCTGGAGGACTAAAGGACACGCTCTAAGGCACACTGTCACTTTCTGTCTCCTAGGCCAGCTCCCCCGTGGCTGGCTGGGAATGCCACCTTGAAGGAACCATGGCCTCCTTCCTTTTCTAAGTGCTCAGCTGAGAGATTCAGGGAAAAGCCCTGGGCAAGGAAGTGGTTCCAGGAACTGGAGATATCTGTCCTGGTGCGGGCCTGCTCATTAGCCCTGCCCCCACACCAGGGAGGGCCTAACCTGGTGCCAAGGATGTGGCCATAGGTAGGTGGCACTGGATCTCACACACTCACCACACTGTCAGGCCATACTGACAACGCCCAGTGCCACAGACTTAGCCAGACCCACCCAGCACACATGTAGCCATGGGCAGGCCCAAGTATATACGGAGAAACAACTTTCTGTGTACATGCCCCGATTTCACCTCACTTTCTTTCTTTCTCTTTGAAACAGGGTCTCAGGAGCTCACAGCAATCCTCCTGTCTCAGCCTCTTGAATGTTAGGATCATAGATGTGAGCGGCCGTGCCTGGATCATGTTGTACTCACAAGGCTCTCAGTTTTGACCAGTCATAACCCCTCCTCCATCCTTATCACTTGCAACTCTTACACAATCCCGCACTGACACCAGCCATTCCCTCCCTAGGTGCACACGGCAGGCTTCTGCACACAGCAGCACATACCCTCTCTGTAGCCACCCCTTCTCGAGTCCTTCTGATTCTAATACTGAAGTATGGCAGAAAGGAAGGGATGGATAGCTGCAGCTGCCAAAGGAAAAGGGTGCAGAGCAGCCCCTAGGGTACCCACTGGGCCTGGGCTGGCTCTGCTGTCGTTTGTATGTCAAGTCCAGAAACCTGACAGAGCCAGGCTCCAGGGATTAGGACAGACTGACTGGAAAAGGGCAGTCTAAGCACATACTTGTCTGCTGTATAAAGAGAAGCCAGACAGTGCAGGGGTCAGAACCTAGTTCTGAATGGAATCACAAGCAAGTTCTGATCCCAGACCTATCCCTTTGCAAGTTCCAGCAGCTCTGAGCGCCGACCGCCTCTTCTCCAACACCGACTTCAGCACCGCAGTCACGTATCACTTAGCGGGGGCACAGTCTAAGAAATGTGTTATTAGGTGATTCCATTATGCGAACACCAGAGTGCATTTAGAATAAAACTAAGTGGTGTGGGCCATTCAGGGGCTCTTGGTGCAATTAAGAGATTGCAAACACGAGACCCGCCAGGATGCTGCCACGCGACCAGGCTGCTTCAGGCCAGGCTGTTCTATGTGTAGAAGGAACTCACTGTAAAGTTATAATTAAAAAATACTAGATAAATAACAGCTACCTCTATTGCCATTTTATAATTTTTTTTAAATTTTATTTTAAATTATATGTGCGTATCTATCTATATGTGGGTATGTATACATGATACAGGTGCTTATGCACCCTAGAAAAGGGTGTCAGATTCCCTGGAGCTGGCGTTACAGGATGTTGTCAGTCACCTGGTATGGGTGCTGGGAACTACACCTGGGTTCTCTGTAAGAGCAAGCGTACTCTGTACTCCTGAGGCATCTCTCCAGCCCCTATCGTCACTTTGTATATGACCGTGTGTGCTAAACACTTTTATTTCTGCTGTAGTGAAGACTGGGTGTGTGAGGCTATAGATAGCCACAGCTCTGTGCTCAGCTTTTATGACTGGTAGCAGAGTGGGTACGTTTACAGACGGAAGAGCAGTGCCAGGATGCCAGTGTTTCTAGCCCTCAGGAATATTTTCTACATGACTTTGTTTTGTGGTGTGGGGATAAACACAGGTCAAGTGCCCCCCCGCTGAGCCACTCTGAACACCTGCAGACTGTCATAGAAAGATCTTTATGGCACATGACTGCTTCCATTACAATGCCAGGAGAAATTCAGGACACCAACTTCTGGTACCCAGCGCACACTGTCCTGAACCCAGTTCGGTGAAAGCCATTGACTAAGTCGTCCCTGCCACAATTTAACATCAAGAGCCACGCCCCGTGAATCCAGCCTCCATCCCACCTCCCCTCCCCGCTGCTGTTATTCCTGCCTTTGAGATCTAGCCTAGAGATTTCTGGACTCTCAGGAGTTGGTCCTCCTGGAGGTCAGGGGCCAGACCAGTGGTCGGGGTACCTCGAGTCAAAGGGACTTTAGGCTCTCTTCCTAGAAACCCTTGACCTTACAGGGCAAGGGCAGAGACCAGGCTGACTGCAGCCAACAAAACAAAGTACTTGTGTTCTTCAAGGGATGCCACATCCCAGAGAACTGCAGGAACGGCAAGGCCCTGTTTATCAGGCTACGCAGAGAACAGGTCGTTCTGAATAAGGGAGCCTTATAGATAAACGGCAAGCGCTTCTTCAGGACTCGCAACTGGGAACTGGGTCTCTTTCCTTTGGCAAGGTCTTTCCATGTAGCCCTGGTCATCCTGGAATTCTCTATGTAGACACCAGGCTACATATGTCCCTGAATTCAGAGATCTGCCTGCTTCTGCCTCTTGAGTACTGGGATTAAATGCATTCGACATCACAACTGAGTAAAACATGATTTTGAAGTCAGCTAATGAAGCTTATCTGGACTGTGTGCAGACAGTGGATCTGTGCTGAGACTAAGTCAGTTAATCTGCCTAGACAAACTTAAGGACGGGCACTGAGCTTCTCTTCCCACAGCTCGGGTCTTTAGCTCTCTTCACAGGCAGGGAGTGGCAGCTCTGAGTGAGGAGGTGCTCCTGAGCTCTTCCACATTAAAGTTCCTGCCAAAGCTCACGCTCTCCCAGCTCTCTATGCTGCTAGGTCCTCTGCTGAGCATGAAGAAGTGGGGGCAGCTGGCTTCCTATGCTTCGGCACCACCGGCCCCACCCCCAGGGACAGCAGAGTCTGAGTGGTGGGCGTTTCAGCCCTCTAGAGACTCTCCTTTTGCGGTGGGGGGGGGGTAGGGGAAGGGGCTCCAAGCTGACACTGGTTCAGGAAAGAGTGGCCCCAGAGAATCCTAATTCAATACAGGGGGGGGGGGGGGGGGGTTCTAGGTTCACCTTTTCCACCCAGCTACTGCCCTCAGCATTCTCCTGGGAGACAGAAGGTATCCTCTAGGGACAGAGTGCTTGCTCACGTCACCCCTCACAGGATCCCATGGAGCAGCCTCCTCCAAGGCCCCGGCTTATCACCGAGGTGAGGAACAGCAGCTGCCTGTCCTGAAGGCTCCTGCCCCTTGTGCCAATCACAAGCCCAGGAGTTATCCCTGATGCTGCCACTGCCCCACCCCAACATCCCAGGTCTGTTGAACGTTGTGCAACAGCTGCCCTAGCTCTAGCCTGGGTTCTCTTCTTGTCTTTCACCCCCAAAGCCACGCCTTCACAAGGGTATCAACTAAGCACAGCTCTCCACTCCTCCCCTGCGTGGGGAACATTCGAAGCAAACTCTCCTACAACAGGCACAGGCTACAGCTTAGGTTAAGTAGGCCTATTCAGAAGGGCCTAAGTCACATATGGCTCTCACTTGTTTTCCATATAATCCCTTTAAAATGTAGAGCCAGGGGGTTGGAGAGAAGACCCAGGTTCTGTTCCCAGCACCCAAATGGCAGCTCACAACCACCTGTAATGCTAGTTCTAAGAGATCTACTCTTTTCTAACCTCCATGAGCATGTGGTACACAGACATACAATTCAAAACAAACAAATAAAACATGAAACCATTTCTTCATGGGTTCATGTTGAGATGGGGAGGGTCCTGGTCTTCATGTTGAGATGGGGAGGGTCCTGGTCAGTGGAAAGAACAGTCATGGAACTGGCCTGTCATGAGAGTTAAGGTCCTAGTGATGCTCTTGGTTCGTGCAGAAGGTACCCAGGCTCGTATGGGAAGCACATAGGCTCTGTGTAGCTGAGGTCCTTGGGCTCGGACAGTTTGCAAGAAAAAGCTATTCCTCACCAGGCAGCTCTCCTGGGGTCAGGAGAGGGAGCTGCACATGCCCAAGGGCATTTTGAGAATCTCAAGGTCACACTCTCCCAGGCCCTGGCAACTGTGGGTGAGCATGCCTGCTCTCTACAGAGGAAGTGCTCACTTCCTCTCTGTGGTGGTGGGGTGGTGTCTTGTAAAGGGACGTGAGGCAGAACACGTAGCCTATACACAGAATAAACCACTACTGATGTCACTCACTGTGGCTCCCAAGGAGAGAAGCAGGAGGACACTAGGGGGTGACTACATTGTAGGATGCTTACTTAGCATACACTGGGCCCTAAGGTTCAAGCCCTAGAAAAGCGAAAACAAGCAAATCCAACAAAAAATGAGAACACAAAAAGACTCAAAAAATACATAACCTACAGGGGAGCAGGTGAGCAGGGTCCCCAGATTACACTGCTAGGCACAGGTGACTACTATATGAACTACACAGAGCAAGACGAACCCAAAGAAACCCAAAGGTCTGACTCAGGAACCCTAGAGGGCTGAAGTCCCAAGTTCCTAGGTTTCTGAGAAAGAGGCTCCCCACCTTAAGAGTGGGAGTTCCCTGGATTGGGGAGCTTGCTAAAAGGTAAGTCTGAAGCCACACACAGTCTGTTACTTGTTTTTTTCAACCCTTTCAAAGTCTGAGA